CTTCTGCTTGTTCCAAAGTCGGGTCGTGGGGGCAGCAGCTTCAGAGTAACTAGCTTGTATTGCTAATAGTAGTTAGCTTGTGTTGCTAATAGTAGTTAGCCTGATCGCTGAGGCCAATTATTAGTGAATCCAACTGGTTTACTGGTTTACAGCTAGTTCGTCAGGTTCCTCTCAGATACATCTTTTGAGGTCAAAAGAACACATCATAGGGCTCAGATGGATCTTAAAACAAATCAAGTCTTATTTCGGAGATTTGAGCTGCAAAGGCAAACAGCAGAAGCAGCTAGCTGTAGCACTTCCTCAGTAGCCTGGGACACTTCCTGCAGAAATATCTGATCTGTTCTACCTGAGTGACCGTGTAAAGCAAAACTAGCAGTTTAAAAGTTCATAAAGTGCCGTTCATATGAGCTGATGACGATAAAAATGTTGAGGGTTGAGCTGTATTAGATGGCACCGAGACACGATGGTCTTGCTCGGACCAGCCGTTATCCGGTCAAAATTTAACTTTTTTGTTTTTTCCCCCCAAACTGAGTTCGTTCACAGCACTATTTACAACACGTAAGATAATTGTTCATATCACAGAAGCCCATTTCACAGGATCTGGTCTAGCCTTTTAAAGACAGCAGTACATTCTGAACTTTACCTGAGTTAAAGGAAGAGGCTCGGGTGGCTGCTGCACCTTCAGACTTGGACTTGTGGACTCGTCAGCCCTTCCAGCCAACACGGCCAGGAACAGTCTCCTCCTGATCACGCACATGTCCACCAGGTACCGAGTGAACTCATGTTGGTGAACGGGGTTCAGGTGTGGTAAAAACTCACTCAGCACATCCCTCAGAAGCAACGCCAGCTGGACCACGTCTGAACCTGCAGGGGAAAAGACAAACAAGTGGCCTATGTTTCATTCAACCTTTATTTATACAGGTTAGTCTCATTGAGCCTCGAGGACTCATTTACAAGAGGGACATGAAAGAACACAGATGAGGTACAAACAGCAATAGACAATCATATAAAATGAAAAGTAAATAGAAGAAACGATATAAAAATGAAACAAAAACAGCTACATCATAAAGCAATGACTGCTGCTGCTAATGCTAATTTTAATGATGTTAATGCTAATACTGCTACAGTTAGTGCTAATATTGCTAATGCTAAATCTACCAATGTGAATGCTAATACTGCTAATGCTAGTTCAGATATTATTAATGCTAATACTGCTAATGCTAGTTCAGTTATTGTTAATGCTAATACTGCTAATGCTAGTTCTAACAATGTTAACACTACTACTACTAATGCTAGTTCAGTTACTGTTAATGCTAATACCGCTAATGCTAGTTTTAACAATGTTAACATTAATATTGTTGATGCTAGTTCAATTACTGTTAATGTTAACACTGCTAATGCTAGTTCTAACAATGTTAATATTAATATTGCTGATGCTAGTTCTACCATTGTTAATGCTAATACTACTAATGCTATTTCAATTACTGTTAATGCTAACACTGTTAATGCTAGTTCTACCATTGTTAACGCTAATACTGCTAATGCTAGTTCAATTATTGTTAATGCTAATACTACTAATGCTAGTTCAATTACTGTTAATGCTAACACTGCTAATGCTAGTTCTACCAATGTTAATGCTAATATTGCTAATACCAAACTTTGGGTCACTTAAAACAGTGGTTCCCAACCGTGGTCCTTGAGGAACGCCGTCCTGCATGTTTTACTCATTTCCCTGCTCCAACACACCTGATTTGAGTGAATGGGTGATTAACAGGCTTCTGCAGAACTTAAGGAAGTAAATAAATCACTGAATCAGGCATGTTGGAGCAGGGAACAACTGAAACATGCAGGATGGTGTTCCTCAGGGACCAGGCTTGGGAAGCACTGGCTTTAAGAAACAAGGATGTCAACGCTGTGACTCTGACCGGCCATCCGCGGGAAGAAGTCTTTGGCAAGCACAGCTGACCGGATCACATTGGGCCAGGAGAAGTCTTGGTCTACGGCAAACATGGCGACGTCGTATACAAACTCTTGATGGAAGCAGCGTCTCTCATCGCAGAACTCGGGCCACTGGTCGTGACCGCTGAGCATCTGAACACCAGCATCCCTCTGAAAACAGACACATGAGCTTCTGGGACATCTTCTTCAATGCAGCTAATAAAATCACCCAGAATGCCTCGAGTGTGACTGGAAGGTCACTGATAATGACAGGGAGTTCAAGTGAACCAAACTGAGTCCTTGAACTTGTGTTTTCTTAGTTTTGTAACTTCTTTTTGGTGCTTCAGTCCTTTAGCTTCTTTTCTTTATTGTTTTTTTTTATAAGTAAAGTTTAGTTTACGTTTGTAATCTGGAACCGTGCGGCTCATTTCATAAAACTATTATAATAGTGTGAATGTTTATGACGCATTCATACGTACGTTTTTTTTTTGGCCCTCTTTCTCGTTCCACAATTTTTGTGCCATTTCAAGAATTCACAAATCAAAACGTTCAGCTCGTTCAGGACAGTGATCTGACTTTTGGTATTGGAGCAACTTTAGCTTTTTGAAGTATTTAGCCTTTTCTGCCATTTTTTATCTCGTTGAAAATGAACTGAGCTCATTTTACCTCCTTCAGATCTTCAGATTCTTCTCATTTCAGCTTGTTATGTCCCCCTTCAGTTTAGTGCTGCATGTTTCAGCTTATTCTGCTATTTCAGCTACTATTTAGCTGTTTTATGCTAATTTTTGCGTTTTCAGCCATTTCCACATTTTTTGCACCATTTCTACCTTTTACAGCCTAATTCAGCAAAAATGTCCTCTCTCCACTTCCTTCTGGATTCTTTCGGCATCTTTAGCTACTATTCAGCTGTTTTTGTTGCTAATTTAATCTTTTTTAAGATCATTTCCACTTTTTTGGTGCTGATTTCTGCTTCTTTCAGCAAATGTGTTTTTTCTGCCTTCTTATGCTAATGTAAGCTTGTTCTTTAGCTACCTTTCTTTTTAGCATTTTTAGCTAATTTCAGCTGTTTTATGATAAACTCAAGTTTTGCATGGTAATTTTTGCTACTTTCAACTTAATGAACTTCTTTACGGTTTATGCTCCATTAGCTTTTATCGGCTATTTCAGCTTTATCTGATACTTCGGCTAATATTTAGCTGTTTTATGCTAATGTAGCTTTTTCAGCTAATTTAACCTATTTATTTATTTCCTTCCACTTCTTTCTGCCTTTTCAGCCATTTTTTGTTAATTTCAACTTTTATTTTAGCTAGTGTCCTAACTTTTGTGCTATTCTCTACTAATTTAAACCTAACTCCGTAAATAAGTGTTATTTCTGCTTTCTTCTGATAATTTGGGCTTATTCTTCCATTTCGGCTATAATTCAGCATGTTTTTAGCTAATTTCAGCTGTTTTTCAGCAAGTTCTTCTGTAAAAAATAAAGCATTCATACTGCATTTTTGTAGGAAATGCAATTTGTTGTTGTGAAAAGTGACAAAACTCTATAAAAATGAATAAACTGAATTAAAATTCGACAAATTAAAGCCCTTTTTGCATTGACTGTGGCGGCCATTTTGAAAGGAGTTGGCATCAGTTGTAGATGGACACGTACATGCAATGATCATTTCCTGAAAATTTCATTCAAATACGTCCAGTTGTTCATGAGATATTTTACTAACAGGCAGAGTCGTGACACAAAGAAAAACTAACTGAAACCGGTTCAGTAGCATCAAGCTAGTTTATTCTTTCAGTTTCATCTTTTTATCAAGTTTTGTTGAATTTTCTGGAAAAGTTTTGAGTTAGCCTTTAAGTTTGGATCAGTTATTTATATATTTGTTAATTTTTTAATTGTCCACCCACCTCCAGTGTCGCTAACTGTGAGATTTCAGTCGTTGTGAAGGAATCCATCTTGAAGCAGCAGCTCCTGACGTCACGCTGCTCGGTTGCCCTTGGAGACGCTGTTATGGCATGCCGTTGTGACTTATAATAAAACCTTTTTTCTTTTTTTTTACTGCATTAACTCCAGCCGTTTTATCGTCTTTTTTTTAACATGTAAATATATCTACACACATCAACTATTACATAAATATAATATTTATCACATTGTTGTTTTGAAAATCTTTGATGTCCTTGAAAATAAAATGTTAAACACGTTTAAAATAATATGAGAGGCATTGGAACTTTTATTTATTTATTTATTTATTTTACGAAAATAAATAAAGGCTGGCCAAAATGGGATTTTATTTGTTTAAAATTCTATTTTTGATACGCACATTGTTTATACTTGTTAATTTAAAAGTCCAAAACGCATAGATTCAAACGGTGTTGTAGGGACAAAACGTTTCAGGTATCTCAAAATGTTTAAATTATGTGGATAAATGAGACTTTTAGGACAGCCCGAGAGGATTTTCAGAATAATACATACAAGCGCTATGTAGTCTTATATATGATACATTTGCCTGCTATACATGAATAAAGGCTGCAGACACATCACGCATGCGCAGAGATCATCCTCATCCGCCAATTTATTTTTTCTGTTTCTTTTAGGTCTACTATTTAGATTGGTAATATCAACTTAAAACCATCTTTACAAAGATTAATTATTAACAGTAAAATATTTGTACTGTAATTTGTTGTAGACTTAAAGATGATGGAAAAACTACCGTAAATAAAAAATACAACAAAAAATAAATAAATTAAAACAACCCAAATAAGTTTGTCTCTTTTATAACAGATTGTTTGTTTGCTTGTTTGTTTTTTGTTCATCCATAAATAATCTAATTTAATAGTAATTATAATAAATAATACAAATAATTCATTTTAATAATCTAATTTAGTAAAAATGCACTGTTCTAGATTATAGTGTTCTAGTAATTTGATCGTGCAGATGTTATAGTCTGTAGTGCCAAAAAATAAATGTAAAAGTTAAAATTTCTTTTTTTTATTTTATTTTTTTTATATGAACCGTACAGGGAAAAATAATATTTAAGACAGGGTACCCAACACCGAGCCAGGGACCAGTGCCAGGCTTTTGGATTATTTGGTACCGGACTGCATAGAAAGAAATATATTTTTTAATTTGAAAAATTTTTTCTCTGTCCTTTAAGCGGAACATTTTATTTTGAAAATGAATCACTTCCGGCCGCATAATTTTAGCTTCCTTGACTCCGTCGCTGTTTATTTTATTTTATTTATTTATTTATTTATAATATCACGCGTAAGCTCTCAATCAACAACAAACGGGACTGGAGAGTTTCTTTGAATATGGAAAATAAATAAATTAATTTAACAAACCGCAGAAGACGCCACAGCTACCACCAAAATAAAAGCTCCATTTAATAGAAAACGCCCAGAGTTGCGGGTTCATCATGTCAGGTGAGTCACGCGCTCTGTGTCACGTGGAGGCCGGCTCTGCTCCACCTCATGGAGACTACACCTTATTCAAGGTCAACTTCTATGTCTCCAACATGGAGATTTATCTCCTGCAGCTTAGAAGACTCAATATGCTAATTAGACGGTGACGTCATCAAGCGACTTTAGAACAGCCAATAGCTGCGTTCTAAACTTGATGACGTCATGCACTTCTCCAACGTGTCGACTGAAAAAAGCTTTAACCAGCTGTTATTGTCAGTTAGCATAATAAAGTTTACTTTAGTTTAAAATGTCTATTATTAGAATCAACTGTTACAGAGTAACTGTAAAACAGCTGCAAGTTTCTGTATGTTAGTGTCATGCAGCTATTAATAATAATAATAAATCATATTTATTAGTCCGGGCAGATGGCGTCCACAACTCTAATGATCGGACTAAACTCTCACTCCTCCATCCATTCTTTCCCTCCTCTCTTCTTCCTCTGCTTCTAATTTCCTCTTTCACTTTTCCAGCGAAGAACACGCAGCCCAACACTGAGCGCCTAATTTTTTTTTTTTTATTTAATTTTTTTGGCACCTGATTTTATTTATTTATGAATTTATTTTTTGAGCACCTGATTTTATTTATTTATGAATTTATTTTTTGAGCGTCTGATTTTATGTGTTTATTTATTTGTGTATTTATTGGGCCCCTGATTTTATTTATTTATTTTTTGAGTGCCTGATTTTATTTATTTATTTATTTATTTTGAGCGCCTGATTTTATTT